AAGTGCACCGACACCGACGGAACGAGCGGGGCAGGCGCCGCCGGTGTTTCCTGCCCTGTGAAGCTTCTCCATTGGCCTTGTGCAAATTCACCAATGTTGCATAGATTTTCAATCACTCCAGTAGCAGTACTTATGTTCTTGACATCCCAGAAACCTTCCATGGTTTTCTAGTGCTTTTTTTTTTTTTTTTAGTGATGCTTTTTTCCGTGTGTGTGGTGGGAAGAAATTTATTTGTGAACTTTTATGTTTGTTTTATTTATTACATAACCTTTTTTAACTTGCAAAAATAAAAGTTGCTAAATTAAACTATTGGGCCAATTTTAAATTAGGTTTGAGCCTCTTTATAGCCCTTTATTATAATAAAGAAAAAACTTGGTATTGGGCCTTCTTTTTAGCCCTTTATCAGAAAATAGAAATTGTTAATAAAAATATTCTGCTGTCAAAAAGAATAAAGAAAAAACTATTTTCTATCCATTCCGTCCGATTTCCACCCCTAATTAACATACATTATGTAATTTATCAAAAAGAAAACATAACGTGAATTGTGTATGCGATTAGGGTACGGAGGTCTAGAGTTCAAATAATATTTGTTTATTTTTTAATTTTGTTCTATAAGTTAAAAAATAAAACTCAATAATTTGTTAATTAAATTATATAAGCTTGATTAAAGCAGATAAATCAACAAGAAGATAATAAGTTAATAGTATCCAAACTTCCTCCATTTGAGATGTCGGATCGGGTTTCGGAGCCGTGGGATCAATCTTGTCGGTCGGGATCGAACTCGCACCTACACTGTAAAACATCTATACAAGCCTTGATCAGAGACTTAGCAAGATTCCGATTGTAACAAACATTTCATGAAAAATAATTAACTTGGCACAATATGTATAATTACTTTAATTTCGAGCACAACCCCCGACAATAAATTGTAGCATTTCCATAGTCGATCATTTTAAGGATTTATCTAATTCCTTTTCATTAATTAGCAATTTACCTTTTAAACATAAGATCTTCGACACACTCAAGTAACCATAAAAATGCATGAAAAACATTATTCGGATCCGGTTGAAAAATCTAGCGTCAAGCTCGATAATAAACGTCAATTTTCCGAGCACGTGTTAATTTGTGGAATGATACCCCCTCCGTTTATTCATAACTTATTTTTTACCAAACAACATTATTTCATTTGGACTGTAAGACTTAGGGGTGTTCGGTTCTACTCAATATATTTAGAGAATTATAAGAATATATTAGTGATGAGTCATAGTGTAGCAAGAAATATCGAATTCTTACCTTAAGAACTTGAAAGAAAATAGACAAGAATTCACCAATTTCTTCGAGTAGTCTCGCTCCGTCTCTCGGTTGAAGTAACCAAACGGAGAAGGAAACCTTGATCAAGAACTGAGCTTGAGAATTATATGAGTGTTTTAATTCGTTGCAAAGGATCGACCGGTGTAATGGTGATATTGTGAGAGATTTCTATGGTGATGTTTAAGAATTAATGAAGAAAATGACATTTATAAAGCTCGAGAGTGTGTGAATTATGGGAGTGTCAAGATTCAAACTTTCTACTTCTAAGTGAGATTAGGAGTGTTGGGATAGTAGTAATCGTTGTACTTAATTTGGGAATGAGTAATTAAGGTACAACCCTAACTTAGTAGAGGAGAGTACAAGTTATCAAAGCATAAAATTAACCATTGGGATTAATTCTATTACTAGGGGTGTGCGCGGGCCATAAACCCGCGGGTTCTATGAAACCCACCCTCGTCCCGTCAAACAACGGTTCTTGATTTTGAAGAACCAAACTTGTGGGTTTTCAACGGGTTTACGATAGGCGGGTCCATGGCGGGTTTGTAGTAGGACCCAACCTTTACGGGTCGAACCCCGTTATCGTCTAAAGCAATTTTTTTTTATATAATTTATAAATTTTACGAGAGAATGATTAGAAACTATAATGAATAGCCTAAAATCTTAAATTGAAACCAAACATAAATAATGTTAATGTCAAGAGTAAATAAAAATTAATATAAAACTAAAAATAACTAATTCAGAACTTAAAAGACATAATTTAAATAAAATAAGTATAGCATTTTCAAGCATAACCAACGCTATTCAGCTTCATTCAACACCATTTTTTTCCTTTTTTTTTTTTTTCCTGCCGTGTGTTGACCGTTGTTTATATATGCTTTTTTTCCTACATTTTCTTAGAGATTTTCATAATCTTTGTAGCTATTACTTCCACAATTATAGTTTAGTTTATTTATGTATTTGATACACTAGAGATATTTTATGGCGGGGCGGGATGGGTTTCACGGGTATTAAAAAAAATTGAACCCGTGTTAGACACAAACCCACGGTTCTTCACCATTTTAGGACCCAATCCTATGGATGGATCTATCCGTCCGGTCCCAATGGGGCGGTTTTTCACGGGTTTGACGGGTGTAGCGGGTTGATGAGTCCGACTTGCTCACCTCTATCTATTACAATGATCAATGGGGAACATAAGAGGGACAAGGGACCTGTGTACCCCCAAGATTTAATTTTTTTTTAGTAATTTTGAGTAATATTTATATAAATATAGATTTTGCACCCAACCCCCCTCAATCCTTTGTAAATATGAGTTTTGACCCTTCAATTTTTTAAACTTTTTGTATTCTTTCAAGTAAATTTATAAACTTTTTCATATTTATCATTACAATAATAATATATTTTTGTTAAAATCAAACAAATTTACATAAAATGTATACATATTTTTTATCATGTTCTTGACATCCCAGAAACCTTCCATGGTTTTCTAGTGCTTTTTTTTTTTTTTTAGTGATGCTTTTTTCCGTGTGTGTGGTGGGAAGAAATTTATTTGTGAACTTTTATGTTTGTTTTATTTATTACATAACCTTTTTTAACTTGCAAAAATAAAAGTTGCTAAATTAAACTATTGGGCCAATTTTAAATTAGGTTTGAGCCTCTTTATAGCCCTTTATTATAATAAGGAAAAAACTTGGTATTGGGCCTTCTTTTTAGCCCTTTATCAGAAAATAGAAAATGTTAATAAAAATATTCTGCTGTCAAAAAGAATAAAGAAAAAACTATTTTCTATCCATTCCGTCCGATTTCCACCCCTAATTAACATACATTATGTAATTTATCAAAAAGAAAACATAACGTGAATTGTGTATGCGATTAGGGTACGGAGGTCTAGAGTTCAAATAATATTTGTTTATTTTTTAATTTTGTTCTATAAGTTAAAAAATAAAACTCAATAATTTGTTAATTAAATTATATAAGCTTGATTAAAGCAGATAAATCAACAAGAAGATAATAAGTTAATAGTATCCAAACTTCCTCCATTTGAGATGTCGGATCGGGTTTCGGAGCCGTGGGATCAATCTTGTCGGTCGGGATCGAACTCACACCTACACTGTAAAACATCTATACAAGCCTTGATCAGAGACTTAGCAAGATTCCGATTGTAACAAACATTTCATGAAAAATAATTAACTTGGCACAATATGTATAATTACTTTAATTTCGAGCACAACCCCCGACAATAAATTGTAGCATTTCCATAGTCGATCATTTTAAGGATTTATCTAGTTCCTTTTCATTAATTAGCAATTTACCTTTTAAACATAAGATCTTCGAAACACTCAAGTAACCATAAAAATGCATGAAAAACATTATTCGGATCCGGTTGAAAAAACTAGCGTCAAGCTCGATAATAAACGTCAATTTTCCGAGCACGTGTTAATTTGTGGAATGATACCCCCTCCGTTTATTCATAACTTATTTTTTACCAAACAACATTATTTCATTTGGACTGTAAGACTTAGGGGTGTTCGGTTCTACTCAATATATTTAGAGAATTATAAGAATATATTAGTGATGAGTCATAGTGTAGCAAGAAATATCGAATTCTTACCTTAAGAACTTGAAAGAAAATAGACAAGAATTCACCAATTTCTTCGAGTAGTCTCGCTCCGTCTCTCGGTTGAAGTAACCAAACGGAGAAGGAAACCTTGATCAAGAACTGAGCTTGAGAATTATATGAGTGTTTTAATTCGTTGCAAAGGATCGACCGGTGTAATGGTGATATTGTGAGAGATTTCTATGGTGATGTTTAAGAATTAATGAAGAAAATGACATTTATAAAGCTCGAGAGTGTGTGAATTATGGGAGTGTCAAGATTCAAACTTTCTACTTCTAAGTGAGATTAGGAGTGTTGGGATAGTAGTAATCGTTGTACTTAATTTGGGAATGAGTAATTAAGGTACAACCCTAACTTAGTAGAGGAGAGTACAAGTTATCAAAGCATAAAATTAACCATTGGGATTAATTCTATTACTAGGGGTGTGCGCGGGCCATAAACCCGCGGGTTCTATGAAACCCACCCTCGTCCCGTCAAACAACGGTTCTTGATTTTGAAGAACCAAACTTGTGGGTTTTCAACGGGTTTACGATAGGCGGGTCCATGGCGGGTTTGTAGTAGGACCCAACCTTTACGGGTCCCCGTTATCGTCTAAAGCAATTTTTTTTTTTATATAATTTATAAATTTTACGAGAGAATGATTAGAAACTATAATGAATAGCCTAAAATCTTAAATTGAAACCAAACATAAATAATGTTAATGTCAAGAGTAAATAAAAATTAATATAAAACTAAAAATAACTAATTCAGAACTTAAAAGACATAATTTAAATAAAATAAGTATAGCATTTTCAAGCATAACCAACGCTATTCAGCTTCATTCAACACCATTTTTTTCCTTTTTTTTTTTTTTTTCCTGCCGTGTGTTGACCGTTGTTTATATATGCTTTTTTTCCTACATTTTCTTAGAGATTTTCATAATCTTTGTAGCTATTACTTCCACAATTATAGTTAAGTTTATTTATGTATTTGATACACTAGAGATATTTTATTTATTCATTCATATTATTAATTTATTATATTATATAATGTAAACAAAACGTCGTTTTGTATGGCGGGGCGGGATGGGTATCAAGATAGAGATATTTTGATTTCTTTTTGGGTGTATTTTTCTTATTTTCTTGCTTTTGTTGTGCCAAAATGAATCATTTGGCCGAAGTGTTGAGCTTCTTCTCTGGAATGATTCTAGGGTGGTGTACGTTTAAGTGTATCAAAGACGATTTCTTTGTGTTTCCAGAGAATAACAAGGGTTTGAGAATTATATTCTTCAATTACTTTTTTTTTTTTCCATAACCACCCCCATTATGTGTAAATTGTCATGTTCTTAACTCTTTATTTATTTATTTATTTATTTAATTTTTTTTTAATTGTAGAAAAAATCTTAGAAACAAGAGACGCTTCGCCTGCACATTTTCTGACTAAGATTGAATCTTTCTCTTTATTTTCTCATTACGGGATTGATAAATACGAAACAAGGGAATTTGAAGCAGGAGACTACAAATGGTGTGCTGTTACTCACTCTTACTGATGTCGTTTTTTTTTTCTTTTCTTTTCGATTCACATACATTTATGTGTTAATGAATGAACTGAACTTTGTGTATTTGTTTGTGCATTTGGATAGGAGACTCATAATCTACCCTAATGGGGACGAGTACGAGAATAAGGAATATATTTCTGTATACTTGGCTGTGGCTGAAAGTAGTTCTTTGCCTGTGGATTGGGAGATTAACGCCATCTTCACCATCTTTATTTATAATCAGATTTTAAACAAATATCAATTTTTACGAGGTAATATATATTTCTTGTTATTTCCAATTATAAACAGTTGTTGATGCTAGCTAACTCTTTTTCTTTAGTAAATGATTGTTGATGCTAGCTAACTCTTTTTCTTTAGTAAATGAGCGGCGCTTTAAAGAAACGAAGTTGAAATGGGGATTTCCCAAATTTATGTCTAAAAAAGTGTTGGTTGATCAATCAAATGGATACCTTATTGATAACAACATTGTGCTTGGAGCTGAAGTTCTTGTCATTAAAAGACAACGAGTTATTGAGAATGTCACTCTCCTCAAACACGCAGAGAATGAACATATACGTGATTGGAAGATTCAAGAATTCTCTAAATTGGAAAACGAAGTTTGGATTTCTCAAGAATTTACCATATCCAATGTCAATTGGTAGTTTTATCTTCCCTTCTTTTCTAATGTTTATCTATTAGATCTTTGAACTATTCTCATGAATTGGTCTTTTTCTTTTCCATTGTGTTATTAATTATCTATGTAAACTTAGGAAAATGAAGTTATATCCAAGTATAGATTCCAATTCAAAGACTAGTGAATTGTCAATGAAGTTGGTTTGTGCGAGTGCCGATACATTTTATACTCATCAAAAAGTAAAGGCAAAGTTTTACATGCGCTTAAAAGGCAAACCTGGCATAGTTCGAAGCTCGGAAAAACGTAAGTTGTATATTCCATTTAACAGAAGTTTTCTTTTTCCTCAAGTCATTGTGTATATGAATTACTATTTCTTAATTGATGTTATTGATAACCCTGTTACCTTTTATACTTTTAAAAATACATATTTCTAGTTCATAGAATAATTTTCTATATTATTAAATATGTTCAGCTCATAAATTTGTTCGTATTACAGTTTCTCATTGGTTTACATCTTCGGATAAAACATGTGGAGAACGAGCATTCTTAAGTTTTGCTACGCTGCGTGATCCCGAAAAAGGTTTTCTTGTTGAAGATTGTTGCACCCTACAAGTAGAAATTTATGTGGAACTTGTTGTGTAAGCAATGCGTACACTATGATTAGAGCCATAAATTCTTGTTCTTTACATATTTGTCATGTTTTACATACTTGAATAACAATGTTTAGTTATAAATTTAAGTTATTATGCTTGAATAGAACTTTTGACCTTGAATTAGGTGAAGCCATTGGAATTGTCAATTAAAAAGCCAAATTCTACTAATTAAACCTATAGAGCAAAGGAACTCACCAGAAAATAGAGAAAAATCTAAAGATTTTATTAAAATTTGAAATTCTATTGGAAATAACTGCAAAAACGAAAGTTATGAACATACATATGAGAGTGTATTTTATACACTTCCATATTTTGAGTTTCTCGGTAGAGCAACCAAAGAAAATATCCAAATTGATGCCATATATGATCTATGCATCCAAATCAATTACGTGCCCTTTTTTTTCCGACAACGACAGCTCGAGATTGATTTTCATGTCCATTGAACTTTATATGATGGCCCTTTTGTAAAATCTTTTGCATATCTGGAAAATCAAGAAGAACATATAACTCCGGTCGTGATTTTTTTTGAAAAATAAAATTTTAAATTACCGACTCGTATATATGAATGGTTATTCAGAAGTCTATTTGGATCGACTGGTTTACTATGTTACCTAATAATCAAAGCACACGACTGGCAGACTTTATTCAATGCCAGCTTTCTTCTTCAACGCAGAGATGAATTTCTCCTTATCTTCGGGTGACATCCCCTCGGCCGAACAATCTCCAACTCCCCATTCAGCTCCTCTAATGCAATATTTGTCCTGGGTTTCTTGTCGGTTTCTGAAATTTACATATATATCAAGAAAATGACGTAAGTCTTGATTTTATTTGTAGATATTCGTTTGAATGATGTCATTATTAACAGAAAGATAAATAGGTGTCGAAAATTTTACTTTTCCTTGTTTAATTTCGACTGCTCGAGCAACTTTTTGAGGATCGGGGACTCTTTGAATCTCGCGTCATTCTCCGCATACATTTTCTGATTTTCTTCTGAAATGGTAGAGATCTCGTGTAACTTCAAGATTAAATCAAATGTAGCTTCGTTAAGAAAAATTATTTACAAGAAAAACGTACCATTAAAGCGCTTGAGAAAATCAACCTGAGGCAACTCGGGACCAGGAACTGATTCTATACCGGTGTAGCCCGAAAGAAATCCAGCTTGAGCTGCAAGCTAGATATTTTAATAACTTCTGGCTCCTATGCCATGTTCATTACACGAAACATAAGTAAAAATAAAAAAATAAAAAATTCTCCTATTCATATTTCCTAATATTACTTGTGCATTCGTCACACAATTCGTTATCTGACGAGCAAGCAACCAAATTCTGTTTGCAATGTTATTTTCACTATTTGTGTAAATCGAATATCCAGAAGAAAAGTTTGGATATTAGGAATCCCGTTCGGAATTGACGTATACGGTTGGTAAAATGTAATAGCCTAATTGAATGAAATTAAAAATCGGAAGTACTCAAAGAATCATATTTGGCCGTATATTCGGGCTTTCTAGAATTGGGAATACTACAATCGGAATTCGTCAAAAATCAAACGAAATCTCGACTATAACAAAATCGGAATTCAACTCCAAGTCGGGGAATGCTGGATCAAATTTCAAACAATCTTGGCACTCACACAAATTTCAGTCAATATCAACAACAAATGCATTCATTAATTCTTCCAAATTAAGACATTTTAATTCTCAAATACAAATATTTTAATTTTAATTCCCCAAATTGATTATCACCGCCATTCAAAACACATCCTTCAAACACGCACTAAGTATAGTTTCTAATACATCCCTAATTCAGAAATCGCAGAATCAAAAGCGAAGAGAAGACGATAATTGATAAATCACCTGGGCTGGACCAAAAAACAATAGCAATAGATGCAGCAGCAGCCACAGAAATCAAAGACTTCTGAATCGCAATCTGTACAAGTGGCGGCGGCGCCGGCGAGTATGAAATTCCTCCGCCGTTTTTGGCGGAAACGGAATGCTCTGGTTTTCTCCTGCACGAAACAATCGGAAGGGGCTTCAATTGACAAGGCTGAAAAGGAATTCCGAATTTTTGTGCGGAAATGGAAGAATTTGCCGGCGATGGCTTAAGAATCGAAGAAGCATTGAGCAAAGAGGAAACCATCGCTGCACTTCACGGAGGATTGTGTTTCAGAGAAAGTGATAAGAAATAAACTGTAAGGAGGACTTCAGCACCAAACTAACGGTCCTCAATTGAGAAAAAAAATAAAAAAAAGTTTAGCAAAATTAAATATCATTTAATTTATTATAACTAGTAACCATGACCCGTGCGTTGCACGGGATACCATTGCAAAGGGAAGAAAAAAATTGTTTAAAACTAAATATGTGGAATAAAAAAAAAATAATCGAGAACATATCACAGAAAAAAAAGTTTATAAATAGATGGATAAATTGTAAAGATTGAAACGATCATTAGTTTCAACACTACTACAATATTATTTTTAAGACATAGTAGTACTATACAGACACATCGAAGTCTAACATTATGCCAATAATGTTTACAATGATTCACGCGACTTCAGTTTTCAACCGATATAAATAATAGAAGGAAATCTTTGATTTTGTATGAATAAATTAAAGTGAAAAATTATTTAATTCATGGAAGTTTTCTATTTAAACTCTAAAGTCTAAACTCTAAATTACTGTGATATACATGGGATATGACTACAACATTTTTTTCTAATGTAAAGTCTGCAGGTCGCGTAGATTGCATCAAAATCTCGCCGGCCAATTTCCAAGGCCATATTAGTGAATAATATAAGAGATCAAAATTTGATCTTCATAGATTAGGTATCGAACACTAACACGCACAAAGATAAAAGAAGAAAGTAAGGTGCGACAGTACATTGTTCCTTATATGTCTCGCAAAATCTGTCACAACCACTCTAGAAAAAAATAAATCAAAGACGAAGCCCCATCTCAGATTAAACTTCAGTTTGAGTTTGCATATACTCTTTCCTTCAAAGTCATTTTCCATCATCTTGTTATTTCATATATTACATAATTGGCTTTGTATCTCGACAAATCATATATTTACTCGAAACATCACAAATTTAATCAATCATATACACATTATCTCGTTTTTAATCCAATGATGAACCAAGAACAATGATATTTATGTTCATATGAAATAAACCGTACAAACATCATTTGTAAAAATCGACGTTTACTAAAATGTAGAAAATAATTTATCTGTGTGCTTTTCATCATCATTCACAAAATAATTCCTCAAAGCTTTTGTGGATGATGAGAAAACTGAAAAAATACACCGAAAAACTATCATGATACACCACCAGTTAAATAAAGCACCATATAAAACTTCTTGTTTATGATCGACGTCATCAGCCAAATTGTTTAAGCTTTAAAACATGGAAATTCCCAACATGTTTCAAGATTTCAACTGTTTAAATGTGTCCTGAAAAAAAAAAATTCTTAAAAGTATATCTACAAACATCTTATATATAAACATAACTTAAATCAAACATTCCAAAAACAAAGAAAATGAGAGTCAAGTCAATTGAAAAAAAAAATCACGGTTTCATGTATTTTCTCAGGTAATCCAACAACATGGGGCCATGAACTTTAATTTCATTGATCTTGTAAGGAGGAGTGCATATACCTTGCGTGCAATATTAAGCATCTGGCAGCTTCCACTCCATTGAGCTGAGGCATCAAGTGGAAAATTTCAATTTTCTTCTTGGTATGATGTGTTAAATTACCCAAAACCTTCAGAGATTTCCAATGATGAATTCAGTTTCAGCACAATGAGATTTCCTTATATTAACCTTTGTATTAATAAAAAAAAATTTTGGCCACAAATCAAATCTATTTAATTCAGTCATCCAAAAGGTAAATGTTATAGAGCTCATTGACTACCAATTCAAGGATGGGGGAGTGAACTTAGCTTTTCAAAGTTTAAGCAATCATAAAAAAGTTGAGGTTTTGAATGCAAACTTTAGATTTTTTCTTATCATAACGTGTCGCAACACATCCGAAGACTATTAGTAAATTTAGGCCTCGAGAGTGTTAGAGAAAATACAGAAAAACTCCATAGTAATCTTTTAAACAAAAATATCGAAAATAAGACAATTAATTGTACGGAAATAAGACAATTAATTGGCACATCATATTTTTATTATCGTATGTAAATAAGACAACTAATTGGCACATCATAGTTTTATTATCGTATGGAAATAAGACAATTAATTGGCACATCATATTTTTATTATCATAAAATAAAATAAGACAGCCACACAACTTGGCATTTCTATCTACCATTTTGAAAGAAATTATTCTATTAGACGTCGAGTTCTAAGGATAAATATATGAGGTATTCACACAGATGCTAGTATCAACTAAGAGCTCAAAGCCTGAATGCTTGCCGCTCAATTGTTTATCTTTCCTTGAAAACTTCTGCATATTCGTGTTCTGATATGTTTGACACTCTTAAATAAATGCAAGTTAAAAATAGTTATTTTTGTCGAGGAAAACAAACAATGTAAATAGGCAATCAAATTCATTCAAAAACCAAATACAGTTATTTTGGAAAAAGGTTTCGTTGGACTAAAATTAAGAAGAATAAATTTGAATACATTTATTTTGCAAAAAGCTTCCATATGCTAATTTAAAAAAAAATGAATACAAATTCTTAGAAAGTTTGTTAAATTGCTTCATTGAAATTGTGGACCTTGAAACTCAACATGGAATTGAACACCGAAAAGCTTAATAAAATGCAGAGAAATTTGTACATTATTCAGTGAAAGAAAAAAAAAAGCTTTAATGCTCACTCATTTTTTCCTGATGAGAAAGATTTCTACCTCACGCAATCCCAATCCTTGACATGATTTGCGTTTTTTAAATATTCAATCACCAAAACTGTGGAGTCATACAAAAACTTGTGCAATTCAGGGAGCCTCCATATTATGAAAGTCCGCGCAACATAAATGGCAATCAAGTGAAAAGATTATTTCCACAAAACTTATTAGGAACTTATCCATAACGTGGCATCCGACCTGCATGGCTTCTTTCCGACTTTTCCTATTACTATATGTTAGAGAATATTATATTATAGAACTCTTGTAATATTAGGATTCTAGTATGATTGAGTTACCTAGATTAGTTAGGATTTAGTTACCTAGTCAAACTCTATTACCTTGCAATATTTCTCTATATATATTCCATGTAATCAACCCATAACACAATGGGGGTTTCTATTCTACGTATTAATATTATTTCTCTCTTCTCCAATTCTATTCTTCCTATATGGTATCAGAGCACCAGGTTTTTTAACCTAGCCGTCTTTCTTCTCCATGGCGGTGACCACCCAATTTTCTCCCTCCCCCGGTGGTGGTACTCTTAATATTTTTTTTTTCTATCTTTTCTATGAACACCACCCAAATTTTCTCCCTCCCCCGGTGGTGCATCTTATCTATTTTTTTTTTTTTCCGTTCTTCTTCTTCTTCTCCATGGCCTAAAACCTAGTCGCCGCTTCTCTTCTTTTCAATGGCCGGCGACCACCAAACCGAATTTTCTCCCTCTCTCGGTGGTGTATCTTCTCAATCTTTTTCTTCTTCTTCTTCTTCATGGCCTAAAACCTAGCCGCTGCCTCTCTTCTTCTCCATGGCCGGCGACCACCAAACCAATTATCTCCCTCTCGGTGGTGGTACTCTTCTCTCTATCTTTCTTTTTCTATATTTTCTATGAACACCACCCAAACTTTCTCTCTCCCCCGGTGGTACATCTTCTCTTTATTTTCCGACATCTTCTTCTTCTTAGTCGGTTAATCTCCTTTCTCTATTTTGATCTCTATCCTTCTTTAATTATTCTTCTCCCCCCTCTCACATCTCTCTCTCTCTCTCTCTCTCTCTCTCTCTCTCTCTCTCTCTCTCTCTCTCTCTCTCTCTCTCTCTCTCTCTCTCTCTCTCTCTCTCTCTCTCTCTCTCTCTCTCTCTCTCTCTCTCTCATCTTATTATTATTTTAAATTTGGCAGATATTTCAACAGAGGAAGTCTCTCGCGTTGTGTTTCGCGACTTCTTTTCCAGTCTTCACTTTTGGAGTATATTCGTTCCGACTGCGGGAGCGTGTTAGCAAGTGATTGTCCAGTCTTCACGTTCGTCACGTTTCGACTGCGGGGGCGTGTTAGAGAATATTATCGTGTTTGAGAATATTATATTATAGAACTCTAGTAATATAGGATTATAGTATGATATGAGATACATAGATATATTAGGATATATATATATATATCATATATATATATATATCTATATATATATATATATATATATAGATATATATATATATCTCTATGTGTGTATATATTTATATATATATATATATATTTATATATATATATATATATATATATATATATATATATATATATATATATATATATATATATATATATATATATATATATATATATATATAAAGAAGTAATTCGATTATGCATGTTCTTATTTTTTTTATAGTTTATTAAAAACAATAATAAGAGTAGAATATTTCATCCATTAAATAAAAAATTCCATTAAAGTTAACCAAATTATACACAAAAGGATTACAATTAAATGCATTATAGAGTTGAGAGAAGAAAATGAGACAAAATAGAAAAATAAGTGACTAAAACGGAACTAAATAATAAGATGAGGGACTATTAATGATACTTGGCCTATTTAAAAATTCATACCAAATAGACGAATGGGACATTTAAAATGATAGAATGGAGTCTGCATTGTTCTTACTTAAGAGCCTATACAGCAAGACTCTTGATGCATAAAATTTAGCTCAAAAATTTAATTTCAGCTAATGCACAATGTTTTAGCTACTCACTTCTACTTGGTCCCTACAATAGAACTCTTCAAATTTTAGCTAACTATTACCTTTAACTACTTCTTGAATAGATAGTTATTTCCCTAAAAAAAAAGAATAGTTAGTTATAAAAATATCATATATTTATATACAAATTTATCTAAATTACTATTAATTTACTGAATAATAAAACAAATATTTTTATTTTTATTCTATGAAAAAAATATTATTGTATTAAATAATTAAACTAAATTTTAGAAAAAAAATCTGATAAGCATGTTGCTGCCAAATTTATTCTATTCGGAAAAGAACAAAGGAAAAACATAAAAAAAAAAAAAAAAAAAAAACATGAAAAACATTAAAGGCCTGCCTCGCTAATAAAAAAAAAAATATTGAATAACTGGAGAAGATAGAAGAGATCTATTAAAACCCGAAAAAATATGCCCAACAATTCGCCATATCCTTTGCAAAAGAATAAAACTCTAAGTGTACTGCAGGTGAAGCTAAGATTTATGGGGGAAAAACATAAAAAAAAGACCAAAAAATAATATCATTTGATAATTTGAACGACTATGGTTTGAACTTTGATATTCTGCATCCCAACAAAGCCCTGTAAACGATCATAAAATAATGTTTTTATGTTATTTTCAATTTGAACACACACACACACACAAATATATATATGGTATAAATATATATATCCACCTTCAAATTCTTCATTCCTTGGACAAACAGATCGACCTCAACCATGTTTAATTTTTGCGGGATTATTAATTAGAAAAATTCTCTTCTTCTTTTCAAAGAAGAAGTTACCTTATATCATTTCTGGCAATAGCTCTGTATGCACGATGAGCAACAAAATGCATCAATTTTTGAAAGAACATAAGTAAAATGCTCCAAAGAATTTAACATGCATGGCACTTGAGATCAAAAAAGTTAACATGAAAACTCCTTAATTACCTGAACAGTTAAAGGTCGTTGCTCCATAAAAATGTGCTCAATCACCAAGTTACTTCCATCTACAAATTTAATATAGAAATACAAACAATACATTCAAAATGGGAATCATCAGATAATTTTTGCTTAGAATTCCATTACTAATGAATTTTCATGCTAGAACTCAGTATGCTCAAAAGGTATCAGATGTTCCATCCGGATGAACCATAAGAGAATAATTAATAGGTTTCGAAAACAATTAGAATTGCAGATTCTTCATTATAAAGCGTATCAATCCTTCAATATGGACAACTCTGAGCGGCGGCCAGGCGAGGCCTCCACCCTCGCTACATCTTGCAAAAACGACTGTCTGCGTAAAGATAACTAAAAAAGGAAGAAAAGTGACAACAACAAACAGTGAAGAGCAAATCGATGAACAACACCTATTTATAGGAGTTAGTTGTTGGAGAGGTTAAAAAATAAGGTGGTGTGGATCGGAGAAGTTAACGGTTTTTATGGCGGTTGTTGACGCACGAACTCGACGGTTTACAAAAAGTGCGTGGGAGCAAAAAGGCTTTCAACATATAAGAAAATGGAAAAGAAGAAAAAAAACCCACCATCGAGTTTGGGAAAAAAGAACTGCTGCACTGACACACGAAATTATAACTTCCCAAGTATGCCGAAAATGGGGGAAGACTGGGAATGGAATGGGCGGTTTCAATATCGTGGGATTTTCCTTTTTCTTTCTTTCAGTCGTGTGATCTCAAAAATTATTTTTAAACCTTTCTTTTATATATATAAAGATTAATGGTTAAATTAGACATTTATTAATTTACAAAATTAACCCTAGGTTTAGGTTTAGGTTTTAGTTCAAAATATCTTCGTTTTATATATAAGATAATTTCATTTTTTAGTTACATAATAATAATAAATAGGGTAAATTTCACTTTGACTCGATATCACTTTACCCCTTCTATTTTTAATTGCATCGATTTTCCCATTTGTACTTGAAAATAGTTTTTAGATATTTAACCTTAACACCGTTTGATCGAAGTCTGAAAATTATAAAAAAATCACCCATCCCCAGTTAAATAATTAATAAAAAAAATTAAAAATAAATTGTGAATGCCGTCGTGGACTATGCTTTCTCGTTGTCTTAAAAAAAATTAATTTTTTTTTGTTTTTTAATAATTATTTAAACTGAGAGGGGTGGTGTTTTCGTGATCTCAGAACTTAAACCAAATGGTGTTAAGGTAAAAAAAATCTGACAACTAACAATGAGGGTCACATTGGGACAATTTTTCAAGTACAAGGAGTCAAATCGATGCAATCGAAAATAGAAATGTGGTATAGTGATATCGAGCCAAAATACAGTAAGAAAAAATGAAATTTACCCTAAAAATAATATAAAATATACATTAAATAAATAAAACACTTAATTCGAGTATTTATCCTTCAAATAATAGAACAAATAAAATAACAGAAATTCCAACACCGGACCGGACCCGACCCGACCCGTCGATTTTCTGCCCGACCTGAGCTTATCCATTTCCTGTCATCGGAATAATGTTCTCTCTCTAGAATAATTCCCAAATCTCAGATAATAGGTATTTGGAATTCAATTCACTAATTTATTGATTGTATGTTTGTTTGTATACAAAACATGAAACATTTTGCTCAAATTTTCGAAGTTTTCATCTTAATTGAAGTTTTTATTTGTCGGAATTAGTTTTCTCTATTATGTTTGATTTGCCTGGATGCGTTTTTTTTTTTGGTATTTAATTTCTTATGTTAGAATTTTGAATCTTAACGAATTCCGTTGGTGCTCTGTCTGGTTGAATGATCGATAAGCTTTTGATATGATTTTGGCCTAATTGAGTTTCAATCCAAAATAGTCTTTCGAATTAGTTATTTGAAGATTTTGTGATTTTTCTGGGTTTCGGAAGAGTTACAGCTACTCACAAATGATTTTGACATTAATGTTTTGATTTTGGAATTTCTACTTTCTGGGTGATTTAGTTCCTACATTTTTCGAACATTTTTTAAATTGAGATTTTAGCATACTTTACTAGATTTGGTGACGGCGATGTGTATTTAATGGTGGTCGGAGAGTAAAAGGAGGTGAAGATTAATTATGTATCGGCCTGGGGCGGCAACCACTAACCGAGGCGGTTTGCCGACAGACAGTGGAGATTCCATAGTGACACTCGATCAAGTTCCATGTTGGAGTGACTCAGAGTACAGATACTTGTATGAGAACGAAGATCCCGCGTCTCCAAATTCGTACTTTCCAGACCCTTTGGCAACTTCATCCGAGGGTGGGAGTAGTGGAAATGGCATGTTATCTAGATTCCCCCTGGATCATGAAATCAACTCGAAGGTGTATCTTTGGAGGGGGAACCCTTGGAATCTTGAGGTGGATGCTGTAGTGAATTCAACAAACGAGGTGAGTAGCAATGGCTGTTGAGTTGTAATTATCTTGAGCAACGTGATTGTGTGATGTCTGTTTTGTAAGCTTGATTATAATCATTGAAAAGCGTATTTGGGTATATGGTTTCTCCTTAAAAGTTGCGTGTTTTTGGATGACTCGCAGAACTTAGATGAAGCGCATAGCAGTCCTGGTTTGCATGCTGCAGCTGGACCCGGCCTTGCAGAAGAATGTGCAACGCTGGTATGCTATGGAATAGTTAACTTTTAAGCTGATATCTTCTTTGTTAATGTTATAAGTTTGAGAAATACCTGTTTTATGGACTTCCATTTTGAAAATCATGTAACTGCATTTGTATAAAATTTACAACATTTTAGTATCTTCAGGAATTTTGTACTGCTATGATACTCCTTAGGTTGACTTATGTTGCTTGGGTTCAAGTATAGGGTGTCGGAAACTGTTTTATATCTAAGTAGTAGATGTGTGCAAACTGTCAAACTCTAGATCCCTTTGGAGGTTGCTAAAAGGCAATTGGATAAGGGACGCGTGTAGGAGCACATTAACGTTTCCATTCACACTGTAATTAACGACATTGTTGTTCTTCTAAACTGTTTGTATTATGATTAGTGTTGTTCCAAATTAAGAATATATCATTTAACTGAGATAGGTGAGCGTCCATTGGGCTACGTTTCGATGTATTTCAATTGTCACATAAAGAAAATCAGTAGTTCATTAAGGAAGAATAGGAAAGGCGATGATTCTTGTCCAGGAGGAGATATGCTACTGCAGTAGTTCCTTTCGTAGATTTTATTGTTGGTTAAGTTTTTGGGACTTACCTTTGGTAGGAGTCCCGGCGGTGCTTTTAAAACTCATTTTGAAGTGTAACATAGATATATGCGAAAGACTGGAAACTTTTCATGTGAGAATCTGAGATATATCTGATGATCATTTTTCATCTTTTTATAGGGTGGTTGCCGAACAGGGATGGCAAAAGTTACTCGTGCATATGACCTTCCTGCAAGGTAACATATTAAAAAAAATATAAATTAAAATCTTATGATATTTGAACTGTGTTATGGTAGTCATTAATTCCATTGGATCTCATGGATACTTTCTGTATACACCTAGATTCTCAATTGAGGTGTTGAACCTCCTGAATAAATGTGGAAAATTTCCAAGCATATTTGATTAGAGACGACACTCAGATATCGAAGCTGCTATATATGAATAGGGTTGAGATGAACGTATTACTGTTCAAGATTGTTAATTTTTATCGAGCTTCAAAAATAGTTGTTGGGCTTGGTTTGAATGAATTTGGATCGAGCTGAAAAGATATTCAGACAAATTAATATGAATGAAGCTCGAGTAGCTTAGTTCCTTTGTACATACTTTTTCATTTTTTACTTATCTTGTCGAACTTGAGTGAGCTCTATATTATATGAATAGTTTGCGGTTAGATGCAACATTTTCTGAGTTTTTAATATTTGTTCCATTCAAACTTAAGAAAAACTCAAATGGCAAAAATTAAGGGGAAAAAAGAAGCTTTGATGTTGTACCCCCCAGTTGATTCGTAGCTTTTAGAAGCCAAGAGACATCTAAGCGTCCGTTATTATATCTAATCACTAACTTCTTACTCAAAAGTGGAGTTCATTGTATTTTGCAGGAGGGTTATACATACCGTCGGCCCCAAGTATGCAGTAAAATATCATACTGCTGCAGAGAATGCTTTGAGTCATTGCTACCGGTCTTGCCTTGAACTTCTTATTGAAAATGAGATGCAGAGGTGATTCAATAGCCAGACTTTGAATCTATATATTTATTCTTGCTCATGTCGTGGATTATCTTTAAAATTGGATTAAGCTGTTTTACTATGTGAATGCAGCATTGCTATTGGCTGTATATACACAGAAACCAAAAATTATCCAAGAGAACCAGCTGCGCATGTGGCAATAAGTAATAAAGTTCCTCTTACTGTTTCTCGGCTATTCCAGTCATATTCTTGATTTCTTTAGTTTCTATACGCTTGTTTAATTTCAATGATCCTGAATGAAGAGCCTTTTGTAAATGCTTCCAATCTTTGATTTCTGATTAGGAACTGTAAGACGATTCATTGAGAAACAAAAGGATAAAATACATGCAGTTGTATTTTGTACGACAACAACTTCTGACACGGAGATATATAAAAGGTTTGTTTATGCACCTATCAATTAGTTATATCTAGCTATGTAAATGCTGCAATGATTCTATTTGCGGTTGGAATTTGATGTTCACTTGCTGTTTCTCCTTGTAGATTACTTCCACTTTACTTTCCAAGGGATAAGCAAGAGGAGGAAATAGCTATTTTGAAACTTCCTGCAGATGTTGGAGATGAAAATGGCGAGACGGTCATAGATGAACGCAAAATCAGAATAAAGCCTTTACCTAATTTAAAGAAGAATGGTCCCAGAATTGCTCAAATTTCAACTGAACTTCCAATGAGTAGTATGGCGTTGACAAGAACGTTAGTGATGAATAGTACTTTTCCCACACCTCTTGCCTTTTATCATTACCGACCATATGCAAACACACGAACTACATAAAACGTTTTTTAAGTCATTTGCCATCATCTTAACGTGTGTACGCTTTTATGCTCTAATTGTCCTGGTTTCAGTTCATTCAAACTTTTTTGCACTATAGTTGTGAAACCTCCCATACATGGGCTTTGCCTTCAGGCTTCAAATAATGTGATTTAAAAATTGGGATATAGAAACGTTGCACTGGACCGAACATTCTTGGTACCTTCTATGTTGTATATTATACCAATGACGACATAATTCTTCATGGCATTTGAATAGAACCCAGCTTTTATTATCTGGATTTCTCTCAGTAAGCTGCATTTTCGAAGTGATATCCTGTAGGGTTCACTAGAATTTGTGTCAATAGAAAACTCTCTAGTTTCCTTGATCCTTATTATGATCTGGAATTGCATATTTATTGTGCTAAAGTAGTTATATATGTATCTTGTTATGCTTCTGATATCAGCAAATGCTAATCGTATATCCACGTGTTCAAGAATCAGTTTTATATGCTCTTCTCAAACTGGTTCGCTTACAATATATACATCCCTGGACCAATCTCAATGATTTTATCTTTAAACAGGAACTCCTCATACTTGGATTCATATTTGGATCCTGCTTTTATGTCCTTGATTAAAGATCCAGACGTGAAACGCAAAGAGCAGTGGGAAAAATCTGCCGAAGCTCGAAGTGGTTGGAATTTTGCTAAAATGCTTGGATATGGTGACCTTGGGGGTCCTCCCCTGTCTGCTGCTGAAGAATATTCGCTTCATTCCAGATATCTTGCTAAAGCAAATTCACTCAATCTTTCTGAAATTGCTGAAATGAGAATAGTGTAAGAAGATGCAAACTTACGGAGAACTTTTACATGCACAATAATTCGTGGCCTTTACTTATATTCTGTGTCATTTTATCACAGTTTTGTTAAACCCTAACTTCGATAAATATATTAAATTGGATGCCGATTTTCACGATACCTTTGCTTGTGCTGGTTTCGATGCTAATTCTTTCATAATTCTGGCATATTCATTTCAAGGAAAGCAAGAATTCTGATTGCTTGACATTTACCATTTCTAGGCTGAGAATATCACATATTCATATGCAGTATCTCAGTATGAACACGCAGATCATAGTTTGTGTGTGTTGTATCTATTTCAGTTACCGAGGCGGGGTTGATAGTGAAGGTCGCCCAGTGATGGTGGTCGTTGGAGCACATTTTCTGTTGAGGTGCCTTGATCTAGAACGATTTGTGTTGCACGTAGTAAAGGTGAATTCCATGACTGCTCATGTTCTTTAATGGCTCGTAGCTTTGATTTAACATTTCTTCCACTTACAGTTGTCATCTTACGGTCGATAATTTTAATTTTTTATTGTGGATTGTATTTTCAGGAGTTTGAGCCCTTGATACAGAAGTCTTACAGCATTGTTTACTTCCACTCGGCTGCATCCTTACATACGTGTGTATTTCTCCTCAACATCTTTTACTCTTGGCATCTTATTCTCTCTGCTCTTGTGTATTTCTGCTTTGATTTGAGAATCAGTGTTTGTTTATCCCGAAACCCTGCTTTTGCTCTCACTGAAAAAAGTTAGTGTTACGACTGTTTTAAGGTTTGGAATACCATGCCAAAAATCTTTGGTAAAATCCCTTCTTTTAAATTCGAGTCTACAGGCAACCAGATCTAGGATGGATGAAGAGGTTAGAGCAAATACTTGGTCGAAAGCATCAACGTAATCTTCACGTACGAGATACTATTCATCCGACTTTCGAAAAATATATTATGTGCAAATTCAAACTTCATTGTCAACTGATCTCATCTTCGCGTGTTGTAGGCAATATACGTCCTTCATCCCACCTTCGGGCTCAAATCTGCGATATTTGCAATGCAGTTATTTGTAGATAATCTGGTATGCCTGAAATAAAAATAAAAAATAAAAATTCAAAGAGCAGTTCTATTTTTCAAATGTAATGTATCTTCAAGTTCAAAAGCTCATTAAATTGCCAATCGTATTTTTTAGGTGTGGAAGAAGGTGGTCTATGTTGATCGTCTTCTGCAGCTATTCAGATATGTTCCGCGCGAGCAATTAACTATTCCGGATTTCGTTTTCCAGTGAGTTTCCCTTTCTCTCTCTACAATCACTTCTTCGTCGATACATTTAATAAATAAAAATAAACAAATAAAAAAAGTCGAATATTTTGGTGCAGGCATGATTTGGAAGTGAATGGAGAGAAGGGAGTTATTGTGGATCCAAGGACAAAGTATGTTTATCAACGACCACAGTAGATGATGTAACTATAATAAAAGCACTTTCCTTTCTTATATAAATATATTTTTGTTACCACACTTGTTTCTTGGTCTGGTTGTAACAAGTTGTTGTTGTTGGGTATTTTTTTTCTTTTTTATTTCTTTTTTATTTATTTATATATGTACATATTTTCCTGTGCATATCTCATTTTCGGATGATATGATTTTACTGTTGTTGAGATTGAAAGAAATATTTGTTTATATTTTAGTAGGTAACATAAAATAATATTGAAGTGATGTTTGTTTGTTTTTTTAATAATGTTATTTTTCGTTGTACCGGGTGAATGGTAATCGAAAGAACGTGGAATTTTTGGAATTATTTTGTAGGAGAAGTTTTTGAAAAGCTTAACATACATAAATTTATTTGGAGGAAGAAATGAAGCTTAATGTTTCCATTTAGGAGCTCATATTTTTTTGGTCAATGATTAAAAATAAAATCTCAGTGTAAATCGGTTGAAAAAAACCTGTTTTTTTTGGAATTAGTTGCAAGTTTTGATCACGTTAAATATGAAATACATAGGACCGGCAATTGAGCAGGGCCTGCCCGAAGCTCGATGGCTCGGCCCGATTTTATTTGAGCCGAGCTCGATAAATTGTGAGCCGGGTCGAGTTTGAGCCTTTTTATTAAATCCGATTAAATTATGAGTCGGGTTTGAACTTACCATGGCTCAACCCGAATAAAGCCCGACTAAGTTAATATATATATATATATATATATATATATATATATATATATATATATATATATATATATATATATATATATATATATATATATATATATATATATATATATATATATATATATATATATATATATATATATATATATATATATATATATATATATATATATATAAACACACACACGAATGGATGTAAGCAAGTTAACAACTAGTAGTAATTAATTCATAAATTTAATCAAATCCAAGTGAAAAGTTTCTTAATGTCAAAAATACTAACATTTTCTTTATTCATATAAACATAAAACCTAGTATATGCAAAACCCTAATGCTAACAGTATGTTGCAAAATTTATATTGGGGGTTTCTCTTGTCATCAATGGAGGTAATCTTAATTTATCACTGTTTTTTTTTTTTCTTTCAATGATTATTTTAGATATAAGTTTTATCTTAATTTATCATTGTTTTCGACTTGCAATGAGTATTCTTAATTTATCATAGTATAAGTTGTTTTTTTTTTTTAACATGTTCGCCTACAAAGTTGTAAAATATGTAATTTATGACTGTCCGATATAGGCTCGATATAAACCCGAAGCCCGAAAAAATATGTGAGCCGAGTTTGAGCCTATAGGCACAAGGCCCGATGGTATTTGAGCTTGAGCCTATAATAACAAGGCCCGATGATATATGAGCTTGAGCCGACCCAAGCTCGGCTCACATGGCCCGATTGCCAGCCCTAGAAATACATAATAATATTTTTAAATGTAATTTTATTCGGAAAAAGAAATCAGATTATTAAGCATTATTTTTGAAAATTAAATCAGATCAGAAATCGTAATCTCATGTATATTCCAATTCCGATCCAAATAAGTACGGGGAAATCGGATTAAAAAATATTGTCCTAAAATCAAAAAATTTCAGATAGGAATTGACAGAATTGGAAATTTCGTTTCAATTTCAATCCTCTGTTCAAAATAATACTGGGTAGGCATACTATATTCTCTTAATCAAAATGCTCTAATATTTTATTTTTTGTATTATAGTTTTTCTTTTTGTTTTGGGAAACTATGGTAAAACTGAGCCCAAAAGGTTTTTTCATTATTGGGAAAATTACAATTTTTACCCTTTAAATTTGTGCTGATTACACATTTGACCATTCATATTCCAATAATTTAACATTTTGGTCATTTTTGTCAATTTATCGTTACTCCTTCAGTTAAGAAAGTGATGGACACACGCTTGACTCCGTTAGTACTAACTGAAAATTGACGGATACGAGTAGTGTTGAATTTTTAAAACACTAAGGACCAAATGTGTTTTTTTATGAACATTGGGGACCAAATATAAAGTCAGTGCACATATGAGGGACCAAAACTTTATTTTCTCCCCTTCATTATTTATCCCTATTTTATATGGGACCTTGATTTTTCATTTTTCTCCTTAAATTTAGGCACCAAGAGAATGTGTGTGACTCACAGTGAAACACACCAAATTAAGGCTGCAAGCAAAAACCCACAAATCTCAAACACCAAAACTCCACTGAATCAAAACCGGTTTTTCTTCGCTGCTGCTGTACAGAGTGAGTACCAAATAGCATCCCTTTTGCATGCAAATTACAAAATTTCATTTATTGTATATTTCAATTATTAGAATTCAAAACAATGTCTTCCGGTTTTTGTTTTTCTCTCTCTAGGGGGTGGGGCGTGATTTTGATGTTGTTTTGTTATTTTTGGGTTTTGTTGTGTACTAGTATGATTCTGCGTTTTGATTCTTCTGAACAATTATTAAGATTATACCAATTCAATCGTTGCAGAAAATTGGGATATTTTGGAGTAATTAACATTTAATTATTTAATTTTGTTGAATTAGAAACTCGTCGGCGCTGTAATTTATTTTAGGGAACTGAGCTATCTGATTAGAATTGGATTCATAGTGTTGGGGAGATTCTCCTAGGGCTAAACTCATTCTGTAGTAGTAATTCGATTAATGCGATTTTCGTCGGAAGTTTTGTTTACCACTTGAATCCGTAACATTTGATTTACTGCAGTCGGAACGCAACAATTTTAAGTGATCAGGGTAGCAAAAAAGAAAGGCCTCGTAAAATGGTGCAAGTGGCGATAAACACTCTAGTAACTTCTAGATGCAGTGTTGTTTGTGAATCGAGCAATTTGTGGAGGAGAAATTTCGGAGTGGTGAGGGAACACCATGCAGTTCTCGGTGCCGGAAGATCGTGCCTTTGTTCTTCTGTCGAAAAAGACGCTTCCTTTGTGGGACCGTGTCACGTATCTCCACCTAGAAGTTTGAGAGTTCAAGCACGTTGGCTGTTTAACGGAAGTGATAAGGGATCGGAATTAGATGCTAGCTGCGAGCATAGTGAAAGCGCGAACGAAGATATTCTCATGTTTTTCTTCGAGCTGGACTTGGCTACTCGAGTTCAGGTTCGAGATAATAGTAATAATTATAATTATAAATAATAAAAGGTATTTTACGACAAGTTTTACATGGCTGGAAAAAAACACGTTGGTTGGCTTATCACAGTGTTTATGTTGCAGTACGCTTTGAATGTGGAGCAGTACGAAATTGCGCAGCAATTGAGGAACAAGTTGACCGAGGTTTGAATGACTGTATTGTTATACATATAAGGTGCATCGATATCCATGCATACTTATTTAATATATTTTATTTAAAGGTTGAATTGGAGGTTATCAAACTCCGGGAAAGCAGAAGAGGGCCTTCTTCCAAAGGTGAAGCTCAAGATATTGCTATAAGCATTTTACGTCTACGGTAAGTCTCCAATTTGCTTCATCAATTTTTATTTTTTATTTTATATTTTTGGGGAGATGAATTTATATCAGAACTCAGTCGTTAAAGTTTCGACTTGTTTGTTCAGTGCAGACCTACAGAATGCAATCGAGAGTGAGAATTACGGTTCGGCTGCTGAGTTGCGCGATGAAATTGCAAGACTTGAAGCAAAGTCTTTCACTGCGTCGCTAAAAGCCCAAGCGTATGAAAACGCACAATACGCTTTCCGTTTGGGCCAGAAATTGAAGCATAAGATATTTGGTAAATTCTCGTCTATTTTCGTCTTTTCTAATAGTAAATTGAAGTACATACTAGGATACCGGGATAAATTGATACAAATCTTGAATGCTTAATATATCGTCTTATTTATTGTACATTAATATAATAATTACTGAATAATGTTACTCGTCTAACTGAGAACCTACTCCAAGTTCGCTTCATATAAAAACCTCGATTTTTGTGCAACAGGTTATCAAGCAGTTATTTGCGGCATGGATCCAGTCTGCTGTGAGTCAAAATCATGGATGGATGGTGCAAATATCGATAAATTAACTCGTGGGCCCGATCAACCCTTCTATCAGGTTTGAACAAATTCATGATAAATTCGCAATAGGGCCTTCCGTATAAGTGATAATTAGCAGCATTAACGTTAATCGGTGAGAAAATTAAAGAAATCTCGTGCAGTTAGTTTTAATCGATTGTTTTGCAGGTGTTGGTTAACATACAAGAAGACCCCAACCTTCTAGTAGCATACGGTGGGCATTTCAGTTAATTATGTTTATTCGTATTTTACGTAGAAAAATCACTTTCTCGATGTTTATCTTTTTGAATGTGATTTGCAAAATGGGATTTTCTTGCAGTTGCTGAAGAGAATTTACTGGAACCCGACAAACAAGAAACGGTTAGTCAAAATCATAATGGATCGAAAATACTACTACAGCGTTCGTTGCCCTTGGTTATTTATTGCAATTCGTACGTGGTAATATTTGTGATTTAATATTTTCCAGGATAGGTTTGATCATCCTTACGCATCTTTCTTGTTTTTCGGAATGGATTCTGCTGGAGATTTTATCCCGATTAAACAGCTGCGCGAGAAGTATAATCAGCCTCGACATGAACTACCATATGATCCACAAGACGAGGAAGATGGAAAAGATGCGTAAATTATTGATGCCCAATCGTTTATTTTATCGGACTTCGACAATTTTTTTTTGAGATTTTGCTTTATAAAGTTCGGTTTATGTATCTAAAGACGTGTAATAACTGTATCACTCTGTGGACATCGTATAGACGTAAAATCCAAGTTCGAGATATGCAGGTTTAGAAACATAAATCCTCTGTTATTTCATCTGTAATTTGAGCAGTTTATTATCTTCTTTGGCAGCTGAATTTGTGTTCATAAAGATCTCAAATGACTTGACCTGGACCAGATTAATATTTTTATTGAATTGCCTAAAAAAATTGGATTATTTTTTTTGAGGTTACAAAAAAAAAAAAAAAAAGCGAATAAGGTCAAATAAAAAATTGGGTAAATTACAGCCACATCCTGCGTTAACGTTAAATTATGAAAAAAATCCCTTTATGTTTGAGTATACAATCATCCCTCAACTATGAATCTTTTTACACACACGTCCGCCATTGCGTTGTCAAATTTAGTATAATCTTCTATATTGTGTGGAATATTCTCCAATTTGTACCATTTTTATTCTATTCGAGCTCCACATTTTTAAAGAAGATGATCATAAGATGTGTCTCTTGGCTTGTAAATATCAGATTGTGTTGCATCCAAAACTGCATTTTTGCACAAACGAATACAAACTAGAAAACATTCCACGGAATTTAGAAGATATCTGTTGAATTTGATTCCATAAGGGTTGAAGTGTAAGAAAATTTAGTTGAGGGTTGGTTGTAATTATCGAAACATGAAGGATTTTTTCGTAATTTAACCTTACCTCAAGGGCTGACTGTAATTTACCATAAATAATATATTGAATTGCCTGGGAAAAAAAAGTTTATTTTGAATTAATTATACATCAAATCCCATGCTGGCGCCACAGCGGAGGCGGGTGATCGGAGACGCTCAAAATTCGCACAACAGGTGACGAGATCCACCACCCACCACCACAACTAAACCATCTTCTCCGCCTCCGTGTTGGCTCGATTTTTAGGCCACCCACCCATTTCAAGATTCTACTTGCTTTGTATATTACATTCATTGTCCAACAAAACGGCCGAATGAGTTTTGCTTACAGCTCGATAACCCAAAGCAACAATGGCGTTATACATGCCCCTTTTCAAAGCTTGCACTACCTTAAGATCTCTTACCCAACTACACGCGCATTTGATTGTCGGTGGGCTCCAGAAGGATACTCTCGCAACAACCAAACTCATTGAGTCATATTCACAAATGGGTTCCGTGCAATCTTCGAGGCTAATCTTCGACACCTTTCCGAAACCAGACTCTTTCATGTGGGGTGTTCTGATCAAATGCTATGTGTGGAATGGCCTGTTTCGAGAAGCCATTGTTGTTTACCAAGACATGTTGGAGAGAGCTACGGAATTGAGCGAGTTTATTTTTCCTTCAGTTTTGAGGGCTTGCTCTGCGGTTAGTGATCTGATGATAGGGGAAACGGTCCACGCGAGGATTTTGAAATCCGGGTTCGAGTCCGATCCCATAGTCGAGACCTCACTGCTGAGTTTGTACGGCGAAACGGGGTGTCTGTATAACGCTAGGAAGGTGTTCGATGCAATGTCAAAGAGAGATGTAGTGTCGTGGAGTTCAATATTATCTACTCATATCCATAATGGACAAGCAAATGAAGGCCTGGGGATTTTCAGGAACATGGTAAAAGAAGGCGTCGAAATTGATTCCGTGACAATGCTCGGTGTAGCCGAGGCCTGTGGTGAATTACGGTTCTATAGAGCTGGAAAATCATGTCATGGGTATGTATTAAGAAGAAATATTGGATTCGATCATGAATCTTTACTGAGTTCCCTGATAGCAATGTACGGAAAATTCGGTGATTTATGCAGTGCTGAAAAGCTGTTTCGTAATGGTGGTGTTTGTCAGAGTGTTTCTTCTTGGACGGCATTAATTTCGTGCTACAATCAAAATGGGTATTATTCTGAAGCATTAGGTACGTTTATTGAAATGCTAGCGTGTAAAGTGGAAAGCAATAGCGTTACCCTAATGAATGTCGTGTGTTCTTGTGCTCGATTGGGATTGCTAATAGAAGGTAAGTCCGTTCATGGATATGTTATAAGAAATAATTTCGACCTCGATAAAGATTTCTTGAGGTCGTCTTTGATTGATTTGTACGCTAATTGTGGCCATCTACTATACAGCCATCGCATCTTCGATACTACTCAAGACAAGCATATCGTATCGTGGAATATTCTTATATCGGGTTATGTTAGGGAAAATATGCCGGAGGAGGCAATATCACTTTTTCTTGAAATGTTGATAAACGGAATATTCCCGGATTCCTTTGCACTGGCCAGTGCTCTATCGGCCTGTGGAATTATCGGACATTCGGAATTGGGATGCCAAATACATTGCCGTATCACCAAAACCCTCCTCCCAAACGAGTTTGTCGAAAATGCCCTCATCGACATGTATTCCAAATGTGGATATATAAATTCGGCCATCGGAATATTCCAAGATGCCCGTCAAGAAAGTGTGGTGACATGGAACTCTATGATGTGCGGGTTTTCTCAAAACGGGTACTCGAAGGAAGCTCTCTCTCTTTTCGACGAAATGTACGCTAAAAATCTCGAAATGGATGAAGTGACATTCTTGAGTGCAATTCAAGCTTGCTCGAATCTAGGGTTTATAGAAAAGGGGAAATGGATTCATCATAAAGCGATCACTTTCGGTGTGAGAAGAGATATGTATATAGATACGGCTCTGACGAATATGTACGCACGATGTGGAGACCTTCGCACTGCTCGAAGAGTGTTCGATAATATGCCCGAACGAAGTATTGTAACTTGGAGTTCAATGATAGGGGGGTATGCAATACACGGTTATATAGATGAATCCATCTCTCTTTTCGATAGAATGGTGGAATCAAGAATCGAACCGAATGACGTCACGTTTATGAATATTCTCTCGGCTTGCAGTCACGCTGGATATGTCGAAAAGGGGAAGTTTTACTTTAATTCGATGATTAGGGATTTCGGTATTATCCCTAACTACGAGCACTATTCGTGTTTGGTTGATTTGTTGAGTCGAGCGGGTGATTTGAATGGAGCATACGAAGTTATAAACTCGATGCCGTTTGGTGCGGATGCTAGCATTTGGGGTGCATTGGTAAATGGATGTAGAATTCATCAGAGAATGGACTTTGTTGATCGCATTAAGAAAGACATTTTAAATATGGATTCGGATGATTCGGGATATTACACATTGTTGTCTAATGTGTACGCAGAAGGAGGTAAGTGGAATGAGTCGAAAATGGTGAAGTCAAAGATGAGAAGTTTGGCCGTGAAGAAGGTCCACGGCTATAGTATGATCGAGATTGAATCGGAGTCGTAGGTTTTAGATGCTACACCTGATGAAATATACAAATACTACAATATAGTTTCTCTACCTTTGCTTTACAAATGTGTGTAAAATATGTATGGATATCATATTTTCCATTCTGATTTCCGAAATCCCATTATCCGGTTATTCCAATTTATTTTATTTTGAATTGGAACACATATGACCTCCAATTTCCGATCCAATTTCCGATCCAATTTCGATTTTTATCCGAAAAATACACTTACAATACTAAATTACTATCTTTTGTATTTTTAGGTTACTAAAAATTGGAATTTTTCGCATTCCACCAATTTGGATTAAAAAATTTCCGATTTTAGAACAAGTTTTTTCATTCCAATTTTTGAAATTCTGATTTTCGATTTTCCAATTTTTTTTGGAACGGAATTAGAATTGGTTTTTCATTTCCAAAAAAAATTGAATTGTTTACAAAAAAGTGCTAGTCCGATTCGATCTGTTCGATTTTCAGCCCTGCTGCTGATAATAAAAACAATAATTTTATTAACCACATAAGTCAACATGACTACACCCAATCTTCTTCCTCAAACTCCACTGTTCATCAAATCTCTGAAATGACCAACCTGCCCCCACCCCCCTCTACAAGCATTCAAATTAGACATAAGCATATAATGCCCTGGATCATCAGGACTAAGCTCAAGCATCTTTCTTACAGCCAAATCCCCCAAATCAAATCTCGAATGCACGCCGCATCCATGAAGAAAAGATCCAAACACAGCACAATCGGGTTCAATCGGCATATTCTCTATGAACTCCAAAGATTCCTCGAGCCTTCCAGAACGAGCCAACAAATCCACCATACACACGTAGTGCCTCATCGAAGAGGTATAATCGTAATATTCGCACATTCTACCGAAATATCTCCAACCCTCATTTATCATCCCACTATGGCTACAAGCGGATAATATCGTCGTAAAAATTATATCGGTGGGCCCCATATTCTCCTTCACCATTTTATCGAAAAGTTCGATGCACTCGTTCGAGTCACCTTGCCTTCCGTAACCGCCAATCATTGCACTCCACGCCATGTCATCGAAGACCGCTCGAGCATATTCTGCATCACCGCATGTGGCGTATAAGTTCAGAAGTGATGTTCCGATATATACACTAGTAGACACAGAAAAACCTTCTTTTATAGAGTAAGCATGAAAAGAAGAGCCAATTCGAAAGTCTCCAAGAGAAGCACAAGCGGATAGTAGAGCCACTATAGTGACTGGATCGGGCGGGACCCGATTTGACCTCATGCGGTTGAACAATCTAAGAACTTTGTGAGAATATCCGTTTTGAGAATAACCGCTTATAATCGAGTTCAACGAGACAACATCCTTATCTATGATGGACTCAAATAGACAAGCAACATCTTCTATCCTACTACACTTGGCGAAACATGTCCACTAGCGCGTTCATTACATTGGCATCGTCTTGCCCTAGTTTTAAACCTAGGTCGTGAACTAACGAACCCATGCAGAGATTTTCAGACCGCGCACAAGCTGACAGTACACTAGCCAATGTAACTGAGTTAGGACAAACATCTTGCCATTTCTTGTCAATGAACAAGAGTAATGCTTCTTCGGCGAAGCCATTTTGTGCATACCCCACAATCATGGCTGTCCAAGAAACAAGATCAATAATATGAAACTCATCGAGAATCGATCGGGCATCCTTTATAGCCCCGCATTTGACATACATATCCAAAATTAAGGTAAACAAGTAGGGATTCATTACAATCCCGTTCTTGATCACATTTCCGTGCACCCATTTGCCCTGGTGCAAAGCCCCTAGTTTTGCACATGCTGATATTATACTCCCTGAAGTGTAAGCATTTGCTTCGACAAGGCAATCCCTCATATGGTTGAACAATAGTAACCCTTCTTTCGCGCATTTTTTCTGCACATAACCAACAATCATTGAGGTCCAACAAACCACATTCCTGTCAGGAATTCTTTCAAACATCTTGCGAGCGGTATTGAGTTCTCCACACTTTGCATGCATATCAACAAGCACAGTCAGCACAAAGCTGTCCGGACTGCAAATCTGAAGTATGCAACAATGCAGCTTCCTCCCTTCACTTAAATCCCTCAATTTGGTGCACGCCTTCAACACGATCGAAAAAATCATATTATCAGGAACCAAAAATCTCCTCCTCATAAATTTATAGAACGCAATAATGTCCTCGTAAAGATTATTCATGAAGTACCACCTGATCATCAGTCATCACTTTACACGAACCAAAATCTGGGTGAGGAATTTCGTCGAACAGCAGCCGCGCCTTGTTAACATACCCGAATAAGCCATACATACCGACTAATTTAGTTTTCAGTAAAGGGTCATCGGTTCCGCCATCAACAATCAGAAGGGTATTTTGGAGGGAAGAGATCGATCTGCAGAGATTCAAAAGGCAGAAAGTGGGGTTCTCTGAAATCGATTGGATCGAATTGAATTCGGTGTTGTGGAACTGTGCAGAAGTAGAGATCGTGAATTGGGAGTAGGGTTTTGAAACCGTCGGACGATTGATTTTTCTGTGTAACAGCGAAAATAATCTCATGGTGCTGAATTTCATCTCTGGTTAGGAGTTTCACTTCTATTTTTTGGTTGATGTACGAGGTTTAAATCTCCCGCCATGTTGTCGTTAGTTATAAAGGGCGGTTGTTTGTTTGTGAGGGCAAAATTGGAAAACATAAGATAGATTTGTTTAATCTACGAAAATGCACCCATCAAATCCAAACCAAAAAATATAGATAGCATAGGCCCCAATAGAAAGCAGACACTATAAATAAAATACGGCAAATTACGGCCAAACCCCTAAGATAATGTCAAATTACGAAAAATCTCATCTTGTTTGAGTAATTACAACTATCACCTCAACTATGTATTTTCTTATGAAAAAACATATCCTTCAGTTGGTAAAATTGACACCGTAAGGGTGGACGTGTAAAACAATATATAGTTGAGGGGTGGTTGTAATTACCTAAACAGAAGGGGTTTTTTTGTAATTTGACTTTATCGTCGAAGACTGGCCGTAATTTGCCCTAAAATAGAAGGAAAAAAATGGCCGATAATACAAACAAACAACTCACGTTTGCGACTAACGTAGCCAGTTGTCAACACTTTATGTCCCACAAAAGTCGGGACGATGACACGATTCTGAGTTTTGAAAAAGTTGGTTCATCTTGTATACGACCGATCGAACGATAATCAACGGACCCATCGAATCCACACACACACAACGAAAACTCTATAAGGTGATATAAAACTTGTATACATCAAAAGCTCAAATCAAGTGAATTATTCCTAAACAATACATATAGGTAATAACCCCAAAGACATAAAAATTACAATTAAGCTAAAAATGACATTTACAAAGACAATTTTTAACCACGATACACCGTCAGTTGATAAAAAAAAGACCGGTAAAAATAACGAATTTCCTCTTTCATTATTAAGTCAACACGACAGCAGCAGCAGAAAGATTCCCGGAACCGCACCTCTGTCTCCGTGGCCGCCTAGTTGTCTTCCCCCACCCAGTCAAACTACTGTCCTCCAAACCACCGCCCTCAATAGCACAAACCGGTATCTCCACAACGGGTTCGACCACGGCTCGTTTCCTGCCCCGACCCGACCCTTTTCTCCTTGTCAGGCCCGAAACCCAGTGATGGCCCGTGGCTTGCATCAGCCCGCAAAACGTCTGAATATCCTCAGTCACCTCGTGCCTCGAGAGTGAAGCCAAACCTGGAAGAATATCCCTTTGGAAATCCCTCCTCTGCCTCCCTCTCCTCGACTGCCCCCTTCTTGATCTCGTCTGTAAAATATTATTACTATTATTATTTGCTCCTTCTTCGATTTTCTCCACTTCGTGTACAAACGGTCTTGGCATGTAGTCCTCTTCTCTCGTTTCTTGCAGCTGCAATGTCATCGCCTCGAATTCATCCATCTCTTCGGAATATTCCTGCTGTGGACAGGACAAAACAGCATCTACGAACCAGAGGAAAGATTCTGCTGAAGAAACTTCCGGAAGATGGGCCTTCCGACAAGATGATGACATGGCGAGTATTGCTTCGGCTGCATTTTCAAGAACTTCGTCCCGTAATAATTCTTTTTCGTTTCCCAAGAACTGCGTGGATAAATCTGCTCCGACCGTTTCTTCTTTGGAGGGGGTGATGATGTCATCGTCATTCTCGATGAGAAAAGGAGCTTCCAAGTCAATATCCAAAACACGAGCGGTCTTGCTCTCGTACGAAGGTACCGAAGGATCTTCCGAGTCACTCACACAAGAGTTCAAATCAATGTAGTCTCTAACAGAGGGCTTCTCCACAGCTATCTGCTCGTCTGCCTCAAATAATTCCACATTTATATCGATTATTATATTCTTCCTTTCTTTATTGTGTGACTGCTCGTTTTTCAATGCACCTCCAAAAATTGGAAACCCGAGAATTTTCTTCACACTTTGAGTTTCTGCAGTCTCGTTTTTCGTTGCCACCTCACAATTGCTCGAATCCGACGTAACTTTTGGAGTGAACGGTTGATTAAGATCCGTAACTGTTCCTCGGCCGGGCTTACATTTAAGCCAAGGCAATGCAGAGAGATGGTCTTCGTGCTTACTCTTTGGAGCAACCTCGTTCAAGTTAATAATATCCACTGCATTCTTGGAATCGAACTTTGGAAGAAAACGTCCTAAACCATGGTTAGTCGAGCGGTCGGATGAAGCTACATTTTCAACCCTACTGCAGTTGACGTGTAGATCTTTCGATCCCGAGGCAGATCCGTGGTAAAATCCGTTCGGTGCCGTTAATTTACCTCCCAAAAAAACCGGATTCAATGCGGTTATCTTTTGACTACTCGTGGGCTTCGCCCACGATGAGATGGATTGGGCCCACGAAGTGGCAAAACGGGTCGAACTGGAAAACAGGTCTGGATCAGGTGGGGCCCGAGAAGCTACAAATGGATCTTCCCAAAAACGACCCGTCGGATGTATTCGAGTAGGAGAAGCTATAGGCAGTTTATCTCGTTGAAGACCGTGAGTTACTGAACTGAGGTTACTTCTACTATGGTTGAGAAAGTCAACAGAAGATGGAGCGCTCGTTTCTTCAATCCGAAAGGGTTCGTTTAGATCGGCCAGTCGAACGTGGTTCACCTGTCCACCAATGGACAACTTCCTAGGTTGAGATACTCTGTTTTTTTCAGGTGCTTTTTCGTCTTCTTCTGTGTCGATGTATTCATCGGCCGGAAGTTGAAGATCAAACAGTTTCTTCCTCGATTTCAGAGGTCTCGAATCGAACGGCTCGGATTCCTTCAAAGAAGAAGAACCGTTCTTGAACGGAAACTGATCGGGCTTGGTGATGTTGTACGCTTTCGTACAACTCATAGGAGAATTGACGTGCCATTTTCGAGCATCTTCTAATGGCAATTGAGATACTCTGAGGCTAGACGAAGAAGATGGCTCCATCGAAGCTCGAAACCCGTTCCGTTCTTTTCTTTTCACTTCTTCCATCATGTCCCGTTGTATTCTATAGAGGCGGTGGAGCTCGTAAACCTGGATGCCCGTAAAAAAAAAATTAATGAACTATTTTTTTTAGATCAACAAAAAAAGAAATGAAATGGAAATACCTGGTTCTTGAAAACGGCTTCGTGTTCGAGCATCTTCTGCTTCAATGCATCTTTGCCATGCACTGGATAATTATCGATATTTATAGGTTTCGGAACGAAAGGACTGTAATATTGGCCGTTTGTCGTCGTTTTATCGAGGTAAGGTAACGGCCAACTGCTACTGCTGGAATCTTCGTTAAGATCCCTCATTAAGTAATTATCGGGAAGGTAGCTTTTGCAATGTACTTTTGTTCCCATCCCTGAACAAGATGTTACCAATCGTTGAATTTTCCTTCGTTTTTACATAACTTTTTTTTATCGGCATTGTCATAAATAAAGCAACATATAAAATATCAACAGTAAATCAAGAAGCATACGATCGAAGTCGGGATTTAAACCATATTAATCCGGTATTCGAACTAAAGATTACACTGAAAAAAAAATTCTTTCCCAAGCTGGCAATCGAAAAATAGGCATTGATTTAAGTAAAAAATAGAAACAAGATCCTACATAGATGAATTGATCACACATCAAAATGAAACACCATTCAATATCAGCAATTATATATTTATATACATAATTGCAATAAATAAATAAATAAATAAAATCCAATTATCCCAACAAACAATACACCAAGAACTCGAAATTCAAAAGCAGACACATATTCACATAATTATGATTCAACAAATTAAATGATTAACCATGAGGTAATAATAGTCAAAACCATGTAAATCTCAAGAATTAGAAACTGATTTTTTTTAAAAAATAAAAACAATAATAATTGATAATTGATAAATTACCTCAGACCCACATCGGGAAACCGCTTCTTGTCGAAGAAGACGCTGATGGATTGAATTACGAAACAGTATCTCCAAATGATTAAGAACTGTGAAAATTCAGAGGTTAATTAATAATTAATATTATTAATAATTAATAATATTAATAATTAATAATTAATAATTAATAATCGTCGAATGAAACAAAGAGACAGTTAAATAACTCCATTGAGGAGGAAGCTTAGATCCTCAATCAAAACTCAACTGAGAGATTGGAGATTTCGATCTGCTGTGACTCTCTCTCTCTCTCTAGCCAGGAAAAATAATTAGCAAGTTTTAGAGAGAGAATGGGAGGAAGAAATGTTTTATTGCAACTGTATATAATTTAAGAAGTAGTAATTTTTTATTTTAGAGAGAGAGAGAGAGAGAGAGAGATCCCAGATAAGAAATCTTCACACACAAAAAACGACCTTCTAAGAACAGTGACAACAAATTTGTCAACATCCGGTCTCTTTTTATTCTCTGCTTTTTCTTCACCTTCTCTCTCTAACCTCCCTCCCTCACACACAAAATCTCTCTCTCTCTCTCTCTCTCTCTCTCTCTCTCTCTCTCTCTCTCTCTCTCTCACATGATTTTCTTTTTAGATATACAGTATTAAAGAATTTCTGGACCTTTTAAGAAAAAAATGAAAGGAAATAGCCATTTAGAGTATGTTTGGTTAGTTCTTCAAAATGTGTTTGGAAAAGAAACAATTAAAATAATATTTAAATTCTAGGGTAAATTACGGTTATCTAAGAGGTACGATCAAATTACGAAAAATATATTTGTTTTGGGTTAATTGCAATCAGCCCCTCAACTATAAATCTTCTTGCACGTTCACCCTTATGGTGTTAAATAAACGTAATTTTCTAAATTACGTGGAATGTACTCTAGTTTGTACTCGATTTTGTACATAAATGCAGTTTCTGATGTATCACATTCTGATATTTACTAGTCAACAGAGACCTCTTATGATCCAATTGTTGCCACATATGGAGTTCAAATATAATAAAACGGTGCAAATCGGAGAATATTATGCATAATCTAGAAGATTTCACTAAATTTGACGCTACAAAATCGAGAGAATCTTTGTAATTACTCAATTATTAGGGATTTTTTCGTAATTTGACCTTAACTCGGGTGCTGTAATTTACCCTTAAATTCTATTACACAATATTTCATTTATATTCTCAAACAAAATTGAATTTTTAACTTCAATCAAAATCGAGATTAACACCCCAAAATTCTCTTCTTGATAAAAAAAAATATATATATTAAATAAATAAAATAAATAAACATTATCTTAATTTATTTGAATAAACAAATATGGCCCCAGATTCTCTCCACCTTCCTTCATTGCTTTTCGTGCAGATATTAATGAAAATTTAACACCGTAATATAAAACTGCCCACCCAATTTAAAATACATAAGCATAATCTACGACATTTATAATATATATAATTAATTAATTGTCATTAAGTATGAGAAGAATTGCATTAAACTATTGATGTATTCTTGTAATTACATGATACATTGCCCTAAAGAACAAACACAGCCAACTTGCCATCTTTTCTAAGCTAGTTGTCAATCTTGAAAATTAGTATTTAATTAGCCATTAATTAATGTGATCTTAATTTTCCATTCTTAGTTAGCTTTTCTATTGGCTAATGTCATGGACCAGACAAGATGTGGGCCCCACTACTGTCACTATGGGTAGGGTTTGAGGATTTTTTTTTTCTTTCTTTCTACTACTTTTTAAAACTTTTAAGGTTAATGGTTTTTTTTAAAGAATAATTACCGTTCTATTTAGATTGTAATTAGAGTGGTTAATCAGGTCATGTAAGTCGAGTTTGGATTAACTCAAGCTCACATATCATCGGGGCTTATTACGATAGGTTCAAGTTCATATACTATCGGCCTTCATTGCTATTGGCTCAAGCTCAGCTCGTGGATTTTTTCGGGTTTCGGGTTTATATCGGACTTATGTCAAACAATTACAGACTTTGCAATTTTACAATCGAACATGTTCAAGTAAAAAATAAATAAAAACATTCACCGGCGAAGAGAAAAATCTAAAATATTCTTGAAGAGTAAAATAAGATAAAAACAACTATGGTCGCAAAATAAAATAAAAATCATAGTATGTTCCTTAAAATAAAAGAAGTTTAATGGTGCAAGTGTTTAATCCTTAAATAATTAATATGAAAAAAAAATGCATCAGAGTTCAATATGAAAAAATATTTATTCTACATGTATTCCTAACTCTTTGTTATATGTTGAGCCTAAAATAAGAAATACATTATTTATTTAATTAATTATTAATTTAAATAGTCGGGTCTTATTCGGGTTACACCATTGTAGGCTCAAATTCAGTCTATAAATGAATCGGGCTCAATAAAATGGCTCAAATTCAGCACAATTTACTAAAATTAGACTCGACTCAAAATAATCAGGTCAAGCAATCCAACTTCGGTCCTAATTGTAATTACTTGAATAATCTAAGGTGGAATCGGTCTACTTTGCTCTGACGACTAAATTAAATCGGATCAGAATTATAATTATATGTAACGGCACTTTGTAATCCAATTTTAATTTTCCCAAAACAATTTTTAAAATTAAAATTTAATCTCAAAAAATATTATCCAAGCTTCCGTGTCTAATTTCCAATTATTCCATCAAATCATTTTATATGTAATATCAATATTATTGTCATTATTATAGAAATATGATTGGTTGATGCTCTGTTTATAAAAAAGAAAAGTATTAAAAATTAATAATATATATTGTATTTTTTTATGGGGTAGTGTTATTGTACAGAAAGCATGTATGATTAATGATGGGGATAGAATCTACACGTGGTACCATTTTGCAGTACATAATAAAATGGCCAACATATTTATTTGATGTTGGTCAATGCTTTATTTCTATCATTAATTCATATTACGTATATTAATATCAATACATTTCAAGAATTTCCCAAAATATAAAAATAAATAAAAATAAAATTTAAATTAAATTGATGGATTAATTGAAATTCGGAGCTCACTTTTTTCGGACCCGGTCCTGGATCCAATTAGAGGCAACCATTAAAAAAGCCCACTTCAAAAAACCTTGTACATGGACTTTAGGTTTTCACCCTTTTAATAAATTACGACCGACCCCCCTAAGGTAAGGTCAAATTACGAAAATTCCTCTCATATTTGATTAATTACAACCACCGCTCAACTATGTATTGTCTTATACTTTCGCCCTTACGGTGTCAAATTTATCTATTAAATGAGGGGATTTTTCGTATTTAAATACATAATTGAGGGATGGTTCTAGTTACCCAAACAAAATGTTTTTTTTTTATATATAT